CTCCAAACCTCGTCGGGTGATAAATGTGGCGGCCCAACACTTCTCCCGCCCAGGGGAGGCATCCACAAGCAATACGCGGGTGGCCCCCTCCCCTCGGCCACTACTGTCTTTCCGCGCTACGCGACCAGACAGCGCCCCATCCACGTCACGTCGCCCGAAGCATCCATACGCCAGGGGCAGTGGAGGGTCCGCAGCGACGCCTACCCCTACGACTAGCAAAACTCCTCGGTACTACTCTCCGTCCGAGCGGGAACGCCGGACGAAGAAGTACAAGGAGTATATGCTTCGACGTTGGGGGGTCGTCGTCGGTGGGGACCTTACACCGCCCATAAACCCGACCACAACACCGACAACAACAACAGCACCACCAACAACATCAACAACACCGTCAACATCAGCAGCAGGCCCAGCAGTGACCACAGCTATTGTCAGCCGGCCGTCGGGCATGTATGTGGACGGGGTGCTGGCGGCGTCAACACCAGCAACGACACCAGCACAGGAGGAGCAGCCGGAGACGCCTATGGAGCTAGAGGACGACGGCCTGGTTCGAGAGATGGACCTGTTCCTCTCCTGTCCCACTTCCCCAGCGCAGCCGGAGCCCCCGGCCGAGTAAGAGCTCCCTCCCACCCCAAGCGCGTTACGCGCGGGGTCTATACTCCTAACCCCCTCCCTGCTGCGCGCACTCCGCGGGGCATTACCACCCACTCCATCAAACATACAACGTAAGTTTTGCGGCTTGTTATTGCGCTATGCGCACTCTAATATATTCGACCAAACACGGAACGCCATATGCGCTATTTCATTTGATTTCTAGAGTACAGCGGCGGCTTGGTGGGGGGGTACGTGACACGGCCACGGCGTTGTCACACGTTGACACCCCGCGGTCGTGTCAGCTCCTTCTCAGCCACCGCTTAACTGTAAACCGGACCGTCACACACACGCGTTATCGTCGTGGTGTAAAGTCCAACAAATGCCTAGCGTCGTATACCCCGCCGCAATAATACGTACAGTCAGTTATCCCCGTGACACCTTTATATGCGTTTCCTTTTCGGTCTTCGTTTTTCTGTTTGTGCTCTCGATACTTGTACTACGGATATACATATTTTTTTTCTTAAGTGTTTTCTTTCAATATCATCTACTGACTCTGCACCATACAACTGAGTCTATCATTCTCAATACTTTGTTTTTTTGTTTTTCTTCTTTTATTGTAATTTACACAATAAACTTCGGGTCACGCCCGTGAGTACTCAGACACCTTGTGCGTTTAAATTCTTTCACAACAACCTGTATCANTAATACGCTTAAACAGGATATAGGACGGTAGTTATTTACGAGAGATCGGTTTCCGGACTTGAAAATCGGATAAATAAAACTAGTTTTCCAAAGATTTGGAAAAACACCTGTAGATAATGATAAGTTGAATAAAAAATGAATTGGACGGGTTAAGGTATAAGAACATTTACGGTAAATTATTTCGGGTATTTTATCTGGACCTATTTTTATTTTAAATGATAAGTTATTTAAGGCGTTGAAAATTTCGGAGATAGAAAGTAAACAAGTGGAGAAATCAATAATTTCATTATTAGGAGATAAGTTATGTAAAGTATATGAAGAAGATGCTTGAGTAGGAGTGTATATTGAGCCGAAGTAGTCCTTAAAGATATTTGCAATATTATCGGGGTTATCTGCAATGACATCATTAAAAGAGATCGTAGTAGGGAGATCTTTGCTTTTTTTCTTATCATTGATAAACTTCCAAAAATATTTCGGGTTATTAGTTAATGAAGCTTGAATACGTTTTAAATAATCAGAATAACATTTTTTAGAAAGTTCTTTACAGCGGTTCCTGATAAGTGAAAATTCGGCATAAAACTTTTTATCTCCTGTAGCCTTAAACAATTTATGTATTTTTTTCTTTTTAATAATTAAAAAACGTAGCTCTTTTGAAAACCATAATGGAAATTTTATTTGGTTGGTGTAAACTTTTTTGGTTAAACTATCTATTATACTAAGTAAATCTTTGTAAAATTTTTCAACTGCTAAATTTATGTCTTTTATTGAGTATAAATCAGACCAATTTATATTTGCAATCATATTGTTCATTATTGTATAATCGACGTTTTTGTAGTTATAAAACCATGACTTGGTTTCATCAAGTGATTTAGTATTTTTTATATTACTTTTTATTGTAAATGGTTGGTGATATCTATCTACCGGTACTATGCTGTCGTCTAAGGGGAGAGTATTAATTGTGTTATCATTAGAGAAAACCAGATCAAGTTGAGAACCATTTTCATTTACTATACTATTCATTTGAAACAAATTAAGTGACACAAAGCTTTCGTAAATTATATTACCTGTTACGTGAGATTTATCTGTATTATAATTCAGTCCAATATTGTTATTTGTAAACCGAATACCGGATAAATTAAAATCACCTATAAGAATAAAATGTTTAATTGGCCAATACTTATTAAATATATACTCAACCGTTTCGGTAAGTGCTAAGTATTTAANAACCGTTTCGGTAAGAGCTAAGTATTTAATATCCTGATTAGTTGGTGGAATATAGCAAGCACCTAAAATAAGTTTATAATTATTTCCACCTTTAATCATCAAGAATACTTGTTCAATATTATCATTAGGAATATTAATAATATCCACAACGAAACGTTTATGTATAGCTTTCAATATNGAAACGTTTATGTATAGCTATCAATACCCCACCTCCTCTCTTGCAAATACTTGTTTTTTCGCTCCGGTCTACTCGATATACATTGAAATTATCAAACCCAAGCTCGTTATTTGTTATATCAGTAGATAACCAAGTTTCTGTTAATACAAAATAATCTATTTTAAATAGCGGTATGTTATATCTTAATACATGTAATTTAGTGCGCAGACCTCTTACATTTTGATAATACCCATTTTTACAATTGATTTTAGATTTATATGAATTAACATTATTTTTGAAATTAAACTTAAAACTATTACTAATATTACATTTTAGCTTCGATGCGAAGCTGAGAAGGTATTGGTTTTACTATGATGTGTTTTTTTTTTTTTTTTTGTCTGTTACCCCTTTTTCTCAGCTCTCACCGAACGGATTTCTTTCAACGATACGTCAAAAGATCACAAATCGTATCTAGTCGAAGACATTACCCTCAAAAATTGAAAAAAATTCCCTCGTTCCCCGTAAATGGGGGAAACCTCCAAAAAAAATACAAATTTAAAAATCGCTAATTTTCGAAATTTTTTCAATTTTTTTTACTAAAAACTGCCGTAACTTTTTCAAAAATGAACATATCAATATAATTTTTTTTTATATAGATGCTTGATGTCTTTACCTATCATTTGGTATATTTTTTTTGTAAATCTGACACTTAACCTGCCCACAGGGGGGGATTTAAAATGACAACTTTTTCACAAAAAATTAACTTTTTCAACTTAACTTTTGAAAATGTTCCGGAAGGTCTGACACTTTTATATATATCTTAAATTAAAGCTAATGTAATGTACTTTAATTTGAAAAAAAAAAATTTGACCTCTGGACTTGTCTTCATGGTGAAAACGGCTACCGAATGCTATTTTTGTGTGAAAATTTTCGATTTTATAATTTACATTTTTTACTTTAAAGTGCTATAACTTTTTAAAAAATGTATGGATCAATACAATTTTTTCATGAGAAGTAGTATTTATATACATCTTTCATTGGATATACTTTTTTTTTAAATCAGACTATTTCCCTATATATGGGGGGGCTTCAAATATAAAAAATGCATATAGAAAGTAGAACTTTTTCAACTTAACTTTTGAAAATGTTCCGGAAGGTCTGACACTTTTATATATATCTTAAATTAAAGCTAATGTAATATACTTTAATTTAAAAAAAAAAATTTGACCTCTGGACTTGTCTTCACGGCGAAAATGGCTACCGAATGCTATTTTCGTGTGAAAATTCTCGATTTTATTATTTATATTATATTTAACTTTATTATGCTATAACTTATTGAAGAGTTTATGGATCCACACAATTTTTTTTGAGAAATAATATTTTTTTCTGTCATTTTTTCATATTACTTTGCCCAGGCTGAATCAGTTTTTTTGAAAAAGTGTGGGAACTCCATGAAGGTATTTAATAATCCAATTTTTTTCCCCGTTGTTCCTCTTTTGCTGAAGTTCAAGACGAAGAGACTTCATTTTTTCACGTTGGATAGTTGTCAGGTCCGAATTTATCCAAAGATTTTTATATTTATCTGTATTGCGTAATTTTGATTTTGATTTTAGAATAGTAGTTACATCTGATGCTTCATTGAATGTAATTCGTAATGGCCGATTTATAATTGATTAGTTATTCTTTGGATTTTAGAAATAGATACATTTACTTTCATGTTAGATATTAAATCATTAACAACTGCTTCATCACTTATAATATCGTTTTCAGAAGTATTGAAAATTAAAATATTACGTGATCTATATAATCTATCATTAATTTCGTTTACTAGATCGATGTTATTTTGATCAGTAGAGTTCATTTTATCACGCAAATTATTTAATTCAGATTTTAAAAAATCATTCTCTTTTTGCAAGTTATTAAATGAGGTTTTTAATTCTTGAAATGTATTCCTTAGATCAGTAAAGTTATTTTCATAGATCTTTAATTTATTGTTTATATCCTTCATACCTCTGTCGTGCTTTTCATCAATAGATTTCAGTAACTTCATTACATCGTTTATTGAATAATCAATGCGTGCGATAGAAGAATTTGTTGTATTTTTTTTTTATCGGCGTATCACCTTGTTTCGGCATTTCTAAAAGTAAATTACTAAGGATTTATCATTAGATAATATTTTATCGTACGGTAGAAACGAACAACAAAGCACGTCCGAACGCTACGAAGGTTTATACTGTACTGTAAATATATTATGATTAATGTGATTTTATATTATTAAATTATTATTATTTAAAAAAATATCTTATAACTGTATATATTTGACTCATTTAGGGTGCAACTCTAGGATTTAAAGAGTTCATGGTTGGATTTTTGTATGGAACCAAAAATTTGCTGAATGGAACTATTGGAGGTATTTCTGGTGTTTTAGAACGTATTACTGGAGCTATGGGTAAAATTTATTTAGATCACAATAATTATAATCCTTTTTTTGTTGTATAATTTTTATTTAATTCACAGATAAAGGATTAGCCACATTAATATTTAGTGAAAATCATAAAAAAAAAAGAAATCTATTACAAACACAAAAGCTTAGATTTTTCATAGCAGGGCAAATATTAGCTATAGTATATATTATATTGTTTCAATCATAATATTTAAAAGATTTTGGTAAATTTAATTATAATTAATATCATGTTTGATACTAGGATATTTTACACATCATAGAAGAAAACTTTAAAAAACCAATAAAAGGATTTAAAGAAAATAAAATTACTGGCTGTTTTATAGGTATAGGATTAGGTTCGATTGGATTTATTACTCTTCCCATTGTTGGACTATTATATTGTACTCATTTTTCAATGAGATTCATAAAAAATTAAGTATTTAATATTATATATTTAATATTTACATATATACATTTAGCGTAGCATTCGGACGTGCTTTGTTGTTCGTTTCTACCGTACGATAAAATATTATCTAATGATAAATCCTTAGTAATTTACTTTTAGAAATGCCGAAACAAAGTGATACGCCGATAAAAAAAAATACAACAAATATACATATATACATATATACATTTACAATATACATTTAATATTACTCAATTTTATTCAATTAACTTATTTATTACAAAAATATGTTTAACAATTGCATTAACAATTTAAGAATTATTTTCCAAACATTATAAAAACGGTTTAGTTTTTTTTTGGTATTGGTAATGTATAGAGTTATAAAGATTTTAACACGACAATTTTGTATACAAATACATATTCAAGTCAATAAATTAATATCTTAATTCTTTAAGTACATAATATTTTAATTGATTTCATGAATTCTTTTTACTATTATAATTAGGACATTTGATAATTTACCAACGACTAAACGAAAAAGATTAATACGATATCTTCGTGATAACAATGGCATTTTTCCTTACTGTCAACATGAAGCCATAGGATATAACATGTTAATGGTAAAATAAATTCTTATAACTTGTTAAATTAGATCAAGATTTCATTAACAATAAAAATTCAATTTTTGTTGGTGTCAACACCATAATAAAAATTTTGAATCTGATTTATTTGTTAAATGAGATTAGGTATTGAAATCTTGTTGAAAATATAGTTTAATTTTACTAATATACCAACATTTACCAAAAAATACATTTTCATCGTTTATTGTTCAACAGTACCTGCATTTATTCGTAATGATTTTATTGCATTTATTTTGTAGAGATATTTAAATCATAACTATTTAATATTACTGTCTCATAAATAAAATTAATAGTTATGTAATATTCTGTGTAATTGTCAATATAGCAATAAGGCCTATCGATAGTTAAGTTAGTGTGTGCTTGACCCTCCGCCGTGCTGGGCCGGAGCGTTGAGTGATCGGTTGTTTGGTCTGTTTAATTGAATGTTGTTTTATTTGTCGTATTAATAAATTATAATTATATTTACGAAGGTAATTTTCATGTGTAGTTATATATTTTAGCTTCGATGCGAAGCGGAGAAGGTATTAATTTTACTATGATGTGTTTTTTTTTTTTTTTTTTT